AAGAGGTGGGAAAGGAACTTTTAAGGATAGTTGCTGTGGTGGTGATGGAGAGTGGGAGGATTTCCTGTTTTCCTTTATGCAGATTACATGTAGTGGGCAGTGGAGCACCTTCCTGCAGTGCTCAGTGCCTGAGGTGTGTGTGGGGAGCCTGTTTCCTCCTGGGGCTCATCCTGAGCTGTTCAGAACAACAGTTCTGAATGTGACAGTGTTCACAGGGGTCTGAGGATGAGGGAAGAGACGAGGATCTGACTCCATGTTTCAGAAGGCTGATTTATTATTTTGTGATATATATTATATTAAAACGATACTAAAAGAATAGAAGAAAGGATTTCATCAGCAGGCTAGCTAAGAATAGAAAAAGAAAGAATGATAACAAAGGCTTGTGGCTCAGACTCTCTGTCCAAGCCAGCTGACTGTGATTGGCCACTAATTACAAACAATCAACCTGGGCACATCACAGATGCACCTGTTGCATCCCACAGCAGCAGATAACCATTGTTTACATTTTGTTCCTGATGCCTCTCAGCTTCTCAGGAGGAAAAATCCTAAGGAAAGGATTTTTCATAAAAGATGTCTGTGACATCTGAATTTTGTGGGAGCAGTTACCTGGTGGAAGGTTGCAAGGCAGGACACTGAAGTGCTTCCCTGCCGAGGGCCAGAGCATTTCAATGCCACGTGGGCCTGGGAAGGGTAGCAGGGGAGCACTGTAAAATCAGTGTTCCCCTGACCCAGACAGGCAGTTTTTGCATACACCTCCACCTTTTCACATAACAGGAGCAACTGGCTCAGCAGGAAGAGAGGGAGACTGTTCCTGGCTGGAACAAAGGAGGGGATTTTGTCGCACTCGCCGGAATCAGGCAGGAGTGAGACAGGAATGAGACAGAGCAGGGGCTGAGGGGGGTCTGCCTGGGCCCCTCTGTGTTTGTCCCTGCCCTCACTGTGCAGGTGTGCCATGGGCAGTGTCCGTGTGCCATTTGCAATTAACCCATTTCTCCACTGCAGGGCACTGACAGGCTGTGTGAGAGGAGCTAAATCACCCGAGCAGGGAACATTCCCTGGTGCTCCCTGCTTTATGCCATTCTTAGCTTAGTTCTGAAGAAATCCCAGCCTGGAAGTTAATTGTATGGTGGAGAGGAGAAACAGTGGCATTACTCATCTGAGGAGTGGAGCCTTTTGTTTGAAAACTGTATCTGAAGAATGGAAACTTCACAGATAAGGGACCTGTCATTCTTTTCTGAGTGCAGGCACTCCTTCACTGTAGATTGCTGCTTGCCATCCCTCTGAGGGCTCCAGTGAAGTCATAAAACAGAGGGTCAAAGCTCAGATGTCTGCAAGATGGGTCTGGGAGCGTCTGTTCACTATTGCCATCCACACTGCAGGGTGGAATTACAGCCCTAATTCATATACATGGGGTGAGAGGCCAGGGCTCTGCATTTAACTCTGCCCCTTTTGGGGTGACCTCTCCTCTGCTAAGTGCTGATAAACGCAGTGGGACAAAGATTCACGCAGGGTCTCAGGTGGGGACAGAGCACAGGGGAAGAACCTTTCCAGGAGCCAGAGGTGTGCCACATGCCAGGTCCTGTCCTCGCCCTCTGCTCACTGCAGGACACACACTGGGGTGTTGGAGCATGTCCAGGGAAGGGAACAGAGCTGGGAAAGGGTCTGGAGCACCAGGAGCAATTGAGGGAGTTGGAGGGCTCAGGGGGAACCTTCTGGCTCTCCACAACTCCCTGGCAGGAGGGTGCAGCCAGGTGGGGATCAGCTCTGCTCCCAGGGACAAAGGGACAAAACCAGAGGGAATGGCTTCAGGCTGTGCCAGGGGAGGTTTAGATTGAATATTGTGGAAATTGCTTCATAGAAAGGATTGTCAGGCACTGCAACTGCAACTCTCACTGCAGGGAGAGTTCCATCCCTGAAGGGATTTAATTGATGTGTCAGTGTGGAGCTTGGGGACATGGGTGGCCTGGGCAGGGCTTGAAGGTTTTAGAGGGCTTTTCCAACCCAAAGAATTCTATGATTGTAAGGGAGCAGCAGTACTGAGGTATCACTGGGGTGTCACTGGAGTGGTAGTGGGATGACAATTCTCCTGCCTGGTGCCAGAGCTGGGGTGCAAGGGCTGGGCTGTAACAGCCAAGGGGTTCCCATCTCCCCAGTGCAGCACCGCCAGTCCCACAGCTCTGTGCTGGCCCTGCACTCCATCCATTCCCTTTCTCATAGGCTCAGGGTGTCCCCAAGGCAAGAAGGGCTGGGTGAGGGTGAGGATCTGGCCCCTGAGGCCCACAGGGTCGGGCCTGGGCCTGCTCCGTGCCCCTCAGCGCCGCCATCGCGGCTCTGCCCCAGGCCTGCTATAGCTCTAACCAGGCCAAGTTTCTGTGGCCTCTTTGAAGCTCCCAGGTCTCATCTCCCGGGGCATTCACCAAAGCACACGCTGAGGCTGCTCCTCACACAGTGGGAAACAAGACAGCAGCTCCTTGGGAACAGGGCTGCTCTCTTGAAGTTTCCATTTGAATGCGGCTCCCAGGCTGTGAGGCCTCCAGAGCCTAGCATGCCCAGTTCTCCAGCTCTGTCACTGTGTAGGTGTTTTTGTGGAGGGAGCTGCCATTAAATGGCTCCTGAATAACTGATCAGGCTCTTTTCTCATTCCTTATGACTTTGCTGAGAGCCCCGTGTGCTGGAGCAGGAGTTCCCAGCCTTGGGTGGAACAAGAAGCTCTTCAAAGAGGTGTAAGAGGCAGGAACACCCTCCTGGCAGAGGCGCTGATCCGAGCCATGGATCTCCCTCATCCACCAGAGTTGCAGGAAGGGTGCTCGCTGAGGGGATGGGTTATGGCTTGGCTTCTGGAAAAGTGAAAAGGCAAATGAGTCATGGAATTGGGATCCCTTGGTGTGGTGAAGATGAAAGGGTTGCTAAGGTGGGGGAAACACCTATATTACCCTGCTTTGGGAGCAAGGGGGGAAGCTGTGGGAAAGCGATCTTAATTTAAATGGGATGTGGGTGGGAACAGAGGAGGCAAGGCGAAGCTCCATATTCCTGCTGTTGTTATAGGGCTGGATGTTTTTGCTGCTGAAACTTTTCCTCCTGCTCCCATCCATGCACCTGCTAAGGGGCAGCTACAGAGACTCTGCCCGGCTCCCTTGGAATGGATCATGGAGAAATCCACTGACTCAGGAGCCCTGTGTCTGCAACAGAAGGAGATTTGGGCTGGTTAAAGGCAGATGAATGAGTTCCCCATGCAGACCAGGGACACAAGAGCTGCTGCCTGGTCTTTCACTGTCCTGCCAAGAGCTGGGATGAGGACATGGAGATGCATTTTCCTTGTGCCATGGCATCACCCTGGCCCCTGGCCAGCCCATCATCCACACTCTCCTTCCTCCTGCCGTGAGTCATGGCCTCGCCTCGAAGCCCAGCCGACTTTGGCCTCCTCGGCAGGGAGCCACACCTTTGGTAATGACAAAAAGCAGCACTTGGAGCTCTTGAACTGTGACAGCTGTGGCATGGAGAGGATGCCAGTGGGCAGATCCCATGACTTGGGTGCCATTCCTGAAGGGACTAAAGAGAAACACTCCCTGGTCTGAAATGTTCCGTTTCTGATTTTCTCTGCTCTGAGGCAATGTTCCCTGGACTGGGCTCCACAGCTGTGCTGCCCTGAGGGTGACAGAAGGACAGCAGTGGCCAAGGGGCTGCCACTAGTAGCCACAAAATTGGATTTTTTACCTGGTGTGCGACAAGGCAATAATGACACAATTGAGAGAGACATTGATTATTTATTCCAGGGTTGTGCAGCCTGGGTGCTCAGTATATTCCACAAATCCAGCACATGCCACCGGACTTTCCTGCTATTATTTATACACAGAAATTCAGAGTTAGTAACTTTGCAAGCACAATCCTTTATTAGGATTTGTCAGTAATTTCCATCCAAGTTGCTTCTCCACGTGCCCAGGGGAAGGGTCTTCACCTGGGCAGGGTCTTTCTAACCTGTAGGTGTGATTTTTATTACTGTAACAAACATAGTTCAGCTATAGAATGTACTGGCTTTGAAAGTTACCAATGTTTACATAGACACATTAACTTTTTGATTGTGATCCTTAAAGCTTGTAGTTTTCAAGGATGTCATTGACTAAGGGATGCAGCTGTTGCCTGTTCCACTGATTTGAATCACAGAATCCCAGAGCAGACGGGGTAGAAAGGGCCCTCTGGAGATCATCCAGTCCAACAAGGCAGGGTCACCTGGAGCAGGTGACACAGGATTGCATCCAGGTGGGTTTGGAACGTGTCCAGAAAGGGAGACTCCTCCCTGGGCAGCTGTCCCAGTGCCAGCCACCCTCCATGAGAAGAGCTTCTTCCTCACACTGAGGTGGATCTTGTGTTTATTGCTCCTTATCATCGGGCACCACTGAACAGAGCCTGGAAACACCCTCTTGGCACACGATTTGAGATGTTTGTATGGATTGATGAGATTCCTTCCAGACTGACCAGGCCCAGCTCCTGCAGTCTCTCCTCATCACAAAAATGCTCCAGATTTAGATAGATAATTACATTACCCTTGTGGCCTCTGCTGGACCCTCTCCAGTATCTCCCATTTTTATTTATCCTTGTCCAGAAGTGGACACAGTAAGATAATCTTGACACACCCCACATTTTCCAGCCCTACCCACGCCCAGCCTCTGTCCCTCGGGACGGCGGTGCCGGGACTCGAACCCGCAGCCCCGCGCGGAGCAGGTGGAGCGGGGCGGAGCCAATCGCGGCCGCGCTGCGCGGGGGAAGCCCCGCCCACGGCCCGCACCGCGCGGTCACCATGGCAACAGCGGCGCTTCCCGCGGGGCCCCGCGGCCGCCGGGGCGAAGGGGCCGGACCGGCACCGGGGCGGGACATTCCCGCCTCCCGCCGTCCTCCCGCCGCCTTCCCGCAGCCCCTCGCTCCGGGGAAGCGCCGAGGGACGGCCCCTTGCCCGCCCCGCCCCCGGCCGTGCCCGGCCGCCGCTCGCCGCCCGCCGCCCGCCGCCGCGGGGGAAAGGCCGCTGCGCGCCCAACTTCACTCCAAGCAACTTCCCCGGTGCGGCGGAGCCGGCGCCCGGTTTGGCGGAGCGAGCAGCCGGTGCTTCGGCTGGGTGAGTGCTGCTGGGTGGGACAAAGGCGGGCAGTGCTCGCTCAGCCGTGGGGCCGGCACGGGAATCGCTTCCCCGCTTCCCTCGCCCTCCTCGCCCGCCTCGAACGGGGAGCGGGTCCCGTGCCCGGGGTGCGCTCGCCGCTCCCGCATGGCCCGAGCCCCGCTGCCGGACCGCCCGGCTGCTCCTTCCTCACTGCGTCAGACCAAGGGCTGCTGTCCTCGTGGGTTAAAAAGAAAAGAAAAGCCCCCCTCCAAAAAAAAAAAAAAAATCCCGTTCTGTGGTTCCGATTCGGCGGCTGGAGGTGGGGAGAGCTTGTAGGTGGTTTTTGGTGGACGGTGGTGTTGCTGGTGGTGCTGAGGATTAGAGCGTAATTTTGTAATCCACGCGGGCTGCAATTATCTGTTCCTCGCTGGATTAGAGATGGTAATGTGCTTGGAGGTCTTAAATGGACAAATAAAGATGCTCCCCCTTTCTCCCCCCCTGGTTTACAGCCGGGCGACGGCTCCTTGGGCAGAGCAGGAGGGATTCAGGCTTTCCCCAGAGCGGTATGTGACTCCTTAATGCCTTGGATTTCGGGAAATATATAATCTGCTCGTTAAAATTACTTCGAAGTGCCAGTTTAAAGTCATCACGCTGCTTTTGAATTGAAGATGCACGTAGCTTTGTTTGCTGGCATCGTGTGTGCATAGAATCTCAGCATAATTTGGGTTGGAGAGGATCTTAAAGCTCATCTCATTCCAACCCCCCTGCTAGGGGCATATATTTTTGTTTTGGAAGCACTTGGGCGGACAGATTTGTGTTATTCTGGTGATACGCAGCTCATTTGTTAATTTTCCCTCCTAACTCCAAATCCAAGCGGTTTATGTGAGCACGGAGAGACCTGGAGCGCTGCTTCTGGGTGGAAATAGCTGCTCCAAAAGATCACGTGGAGGTCAGTTCCTTGAATTTGCACGGAGTTCTGCGCTGGGATTTGGGAGGGAGCAGCGCTGGGATTGTGGATGGGTGAAGCTAATCAGTGAAATCCCAGAATTTCCTGTGCGGTGCTGCACGGAGCCGGGTGGAAAGCTTTGCCTTCCTGAGCCTGCCTGCAGCATTGTTGCCGTTCTTGCCTTTCTCCCGTCTGCAGGTGGGAGATTAATCCCGTGGATTCAGGTATTGACTTGACTTCTATTTCTGTGGTGTAATCCGGGCGATTCTGATTTGTGTGCGAGGAATGGGATTAGGGGAAAATCGCACTTGGCAGATGGCAGAGCTCTTCTGTGCCATTAGGAGATATTGTAACCTTTGATTATACCTGCAGGTCCGGTAACAGAGCTCAGGCTCTTTGGGGTTTGGTAATAGAATTCCATTGCAGCTCAAATATTGCTCATGATAAATTACTGGGATCGCATTAAAGGAGCTGCAGCAAACAGAAATTGATGTTTTGTCCAAACTGGTGCTTTACTCCGGGGTGGTAATTGCAGGCAATTTTCCCTGTCTGCTGAGGGGTAAACTCTGTTTCCAGGGTAACTGGGAAGTTGTTCAGCTGCTTCTGAGGTACTTTTTTGCCAGAGCTGAAGGTTGTTGGCATTTTCTTTTCCTGGTCTCTCCTCCACAAACCAGAAGGATTTGCATCTTTCTAACGACCACGTAAAAATGGGAGTTTTCTTTGTTTTCCTGTGACGTTTGCAGGGTGTGTAGGGAAGCAGACAGTTGTGTGGCAGAAATGCTAATAAAGCTGCCTGGCAGCTTAATCCAGGTAAAGACTTTCTCAGGGAAAAAAAAAATCTATCACGAATTTATAAACTTTTCCCCTCATTTTTTTGGCTAACATTTTCTTTACAATGTGCTCTGCCTTTTCCTGTAAGAATTATCAAAGATCTTTATTAGTAAGTAAAGCTATAAAGCCTTTGTGCTTCAGGGTAGTTAAGGAGGTTGGAATCCTATTTAAATAGATGTTGTAGCCTGTAATTCCCTTTTGATAGGTGTAGAGTTTATTGAAAATGGGTGTGTAAAGTTTTCCTCTGTTTCAGACAATGCCCTGAGCTAATTCTAAGTTAAATATTTCTTTCCCAATGTATAGAAGACACAGAACCAAGTCACTCTGGAGAGTCACAGTATGGAAAGTCCCTAAAAGGAGGCAAAATCTAGGACTGTTTCCAACTGGTATACTTTGGTTTGTCATTTTTTTGCTGTCTCATTTTATATGTGGCAGTAAAGGACGTGCATGGCCCCAGCCCCAGGGTTGTGCTCACGCTGCAGTTCTGGAGCTGCTGCTCTTATGGCAGGAGAAAGGGCACAGTCCCCCATCTGTGCTGCTCCTGACGAGATAACCAGGGATTCAGAAAATTTCCATGGCTGATGATGAAGCAGTTTTTCTCTCTGCCATACTCAGGCTCTGTGTAGCTGCAGGATTTTTTTATTTTATTTTTTTAAATTCCATTTTGAGCCATGTGCAGCACCATCACCTTGGGTGTTAATTGAGCCCCTTAAGTGTGCAGACTCCTATGGCAGTGGCAATAAGCTTCCCAAATGCCTGATTTCTTCCAAAGGGGGGAAAAAAACCCCAGTTACAACTTGAAAATAGGCTTTACTGAAAGCAGGAATTTCAGACTTTGTGCTTCATAAGTTTCCCAGCCCTTCCTGCCCCATGTGCTCAAGGTGACATTCAGAGCACATGTGAAAGAAGCAAGTCCTGACCAGCAGGTCCCAGGTGGATGGAGAGCTGAGGTATTCCTGCTCCTGGGATTCTCTGCACAGCTCTGTGATTTCGCTTGGGTGTTGTCCTGGACTCTGCTCCATTCAGCACTCATGTTTCTCTGGCTATTAGATAATTTTGAAACCAGTCCTGTCACCTGCCCTCTCTTTGGCACGTGTTTGGTTAGTGCAGAGTGAAAAAGGAGCTCAGTCTCTGTGGTAATGAATGTGTTGCTCTTCACTCCCTGGTCCTTGCCCTGCAGTTATTCCGTGTTTGGTTGTTGCTCTTGGAGCTTCCTCCCTTCTGGCAGATTTTCCAAGTAACATGTGAATCAAATTGATTTGATTTCTCTGTCCTTGAGTTTGTAAACAGAGATAAGAAAACTTCCCAGAGTCCTGAAAATTCTGGTGTAGATTTGCTTGTGGGGAGTGCTGTGCAGATCAGGGACAGGGCTCAGGATCACATTGGAGAGGATTTCCCTGAGTGTGTCAGCTGGGGACAACTTACAGATGTGACTTCCTCTCCTGGATGCTCATGTGTTTAAAAATCAGGCTGGTTTCTTATTCTGGAGAGTTTCACAGATCAAGGTATTTCACTAAGCCTTGGTGTGATTTCTCAAATTGACACTCCACAGAAGTTGGTAGCTTGGCACTGTCCCTATCCAGGGAAATGTCCTTTGGCAGTGCACTGGTCATGCTGGATAGTTAGTGAAAAATTTGCCTAGTAAGAGGGTGTGTCTAAATTGGAGTGTTCTGCATCCATTTATGTGTAATGTTGCTGTTCTTTCCTTATTTTCAAGCTGTTTATTTCAATGGAATGTTTTCTTGCATGAGGTTTAAAGTCTTTCACTTCCCGAGCTGGGTGAATGTTCATGATGCAGTGCTGCAGCCTTTCTGCTCATTGATTTTATAAATTTATTTATTTCTTATGGTAAGTGCAGCTTGCTCAATTTTCAAGTAGGAGGCAGCATTTGGGGAGGAAAGGACCATTCCAGTGAATCCTTTATGGAGCAGCAGATCCTGCTGTGTGCTGCTTGGAAAAGCGAGACTGAAATAAATGCTCAGTCCTGCAAGCCCAGGCATGAGGCTGGTGGTGATGCTGTGAGCCCAGTCTGTATCACTGGCTTGTGTTTGGTGCACAGGGGTGACTGGAACCTGGGAATGTTGCAATGTTTTTAGGTGTGTTTTTAGTTTTGTGTGTGTAAGAATTACCCAAAGGCATTGTAGGGTAAAAGCCACAGATTTTTTTTGCTTTTGCTTCAGAAATCTCTTTAAGTATAGAGTGCCTGCTTGTGGTAGTAGGGTTTGCAGTGTAAACCACTGTGTGGTTGTCTGGAGCTTGCAGCCAGAGAGACTGGAATAATGGCATCAGGACAGCTGAGGAATTCTCTCCACAGCAACCAGTCCTGAATCCTAATCAGGGCCCTCAGAGTGACCACAGGCTTGGTAGGTTTAACAGCTTCACTGGGAGACTCCATGCATGACAAACTCGAGATGCACCTGCCCTAGGCAGCTGGATGTGCAGATTTTTCCTAAAAATGTCCAGGAATTGGCTCTTGGGTTGCCTGGATATGTTTTTCCAGTGAGATTTGACTGCTGATTCCGAGGAGATGCTCTTCTTGCTGGGTTAGAAGTGAAGTTGGTTCTCTGTTCTCTTGTCCTTCATTGACTCTCAGTGAGATTGAAGGACATCCATGAACTTCTGAACTCTCAGGGCATTCTTTTCAAACCGTGTTCCAGGAATAATTAAAATATTTACAAGTAACAAAGCCAGAGCAAGTCAATTTCTCTTTGCCTTGAGAGAGCTTCTATAGGTGAAGAGGACTTCCCATGTGTTGAGTTCTGTTAAAACTGGAGGAAAACCAAATTCTTATGAAAACCTGGATGTTGAGTGTTGCCAAAACATACTAAATTTAGTGTGGTGACTGTTTTATCTATTTTCAGCTATTGCTTAAAAAAACTCCCTAATGTTTCCCTTTTATTCTCGTGATTGGTGTGACCTGAACATCTGATCACAAAAGGATATTTAAGTCTACTGGGTGATGATTTTCCTCAGGCCCAGGCTTAAAGAATTCAGACTCCTAAAATTAAGCTGTTTATGGGAGCATACTTTATCTTTAGATTCTTTTCTCAAATCAAGGAGGTTTATTTTCTTGGTTCCCACTCTCTTTGTTCTGGGAATATGTAATGCTGGAATTTCTGCAAACAAAAAACACTTTCAAACAGCTTGGGGATATTTTTCAGTGCATCTGTATAAATAGGAGATCATTAATACATTTTTTTTGCAGTTCCTGAATGCCTTACACTTATGTTGAGACAATGGGAGTT